TGCCTGTAGTCCTCGTCAAACTGTTCGTTCTGGGCCACAGTGAAGTGATTCTTCCAGTCACCAACCTTCCCTGCAGCACCACAGAAAAATCAGACAGGTATTTATAGCTCAAGGTGGAGATCTCATTGCGTGTCATGTGTCAATATTCACTGTACCTTTTCTAATGAAGGAAGACTTTTTGAAATCCATCAATTTGAACTTTGAATGGTTGACCAAGTTGTTCTTTTTCATGTCATCAAACTGCACTCTGCGTGTAATCATCTCTTTCTCCTCAGACGAAGGAGACAAACCAAGAAAGCTGCAGAGGTTGTCTATTTCCCGTCCGCAATCCTGGAAACATGTGGTCAGGAGTAAAGTATCGCACTAGTAACACCTACAGCAGTGTTTTGGAAAAACAACCAGATTACCTCGACCAGATCTTCGTAGAACGCGTAATGGAGATTTGGATGGCTCTGTTTCTTCTCCCACCAGCCGGTCACATGGTCGTACCAGGATCCAAACACCACTGACGCAACAGAATAATAAATAAGAACACTTGTGGAGTGCGGAGGAAACCTTCAATAAAAGCCAATTTAGTACAGTATTTCCTACTCTTTTCCTCCATGAATCTCTGGAGGTAGCTGCTCCAGTCTCCAGGCTCTGGGTGCAATGAGGTCATGCCTTCAAAATGGAAATAAGACACCACGCTGTCCTTTGCATTGCGGGCCACGTACACGATCTACACAACAAGAAAACAAATGAAATACATGTCATTTGTGTGATAAGTGTTTATGAACAACAGATCATAAGTCAGCTGTACTTGTAGTTGAAGGCATTGGATGTCGCTGTTTTGTAGCGGTTTTGTTAACTTAATTTACTTAAGTACAATTGTCAACTATCGCTATTGCACTTAAACAGTATTAGTGACCTTGCAGTTTTGCTCCAAAAAGGACTTTGGCAGAAACTGGACTGGAAGATGAGTCCTGATGATGCGAGGAGATGTGGAGAGGTTGTCTACCTGGTCTGTTCCATAGACTATGGGTCGAGAAGGCCCTGATCCTGCACATGATAAAACAGTTTACATGTTGGTGAATCATGTGGTAAATACAACACAATACAAATACAACATTTAAATATCACAATGATTATAAATGCACAAATATTCATGAAGTTGTTGCACACTCCCTGGCACACAAGCTCTACAATACAACACAATGAAGTGTAATTCATTGTGAGGAATTTTGTTTGCTGATTTATGCAAAAGGCTGAAAATGATCACCATGGTATAAAAGTGTTTGCATGTTTGGGTGACATAAAATATGGTGAGTATGTGATTGTTAATTCAACCTTGCTCCAGAGAAGGGAAGGCAATCTCCAGATTGACCACCCTCGAATAGAGAGGGATGGATTTCTCGCGCTCTGGAAGTGTCTGACCAAAGTACAGCAGGTCAAGGATGTAGGAGATCCAGGTGGTTCCTAAAGGAAAGACGGAGGAAAATAAAATAGATAATGTAATAAACCAAATGTTTAATTATGATAAGATAAGTACTGATCCTACTGTATAAAGCAAAGAATATCCTGTTCATGTGAACTGACCTGATTTGGGGTATGTTGCAAGAAGTATATCATCTGGCCTGGCCTGAAAGTTTTGAGTATTCTCCCAATTATCTGTATAAAAGTGTGTCATCCCGACTCTGTGGAAATCAAATAGTTCTGGTCGAGAATCCATCTTTAAAATAAAACAGATTAAAATAAGAAAGGACTGAAAACATACAAAACACACGATCATTGTGTATTTAAAAACGATGTCAGATTGTCTTAGAAAATTGCTTCTACAGATTCATTTTTAAAAGTGCTAAGTAAGTAAAATAATTTTACTCATACTCTGCTTGTCCAGTGAAAACAGTGTATCTCCAAATATTGAGATTTTGAATTGGAAGGATTAAGTGTTTCCGTTATGGAATATAGTATTGATCCCACTGTGAGCATATTTTGTAAAGAAAAGTAACCATTAGATAATGCCTCATTTGCATAATTAAAACAAAACATTTCAGAAAACTCTTTGAAGAACACTATGTAACATTTAGGGGTATTAATTGGCAGCAATGGAATATAATATTCACAACTATGTTTTAGTCAGTGTAAAATCACCTTAAAGTAAGAATAGTGTTTTCGTTATCTTAGAAAAAGCTCTTTATATCAACACCATGTTTCTACAGCAGCCCAGAACAAACACGTTTTAAGTCATCTGAAGGCAGAAACCATGAAGACTGACAGAATCCCGGTAATAAAATGCTAAATGATCGGATATATATATTTCTACTTAGTATAGATATTTCTACGTAGTATAGTAGAGGTAGTATAGTATATATTTCTACTTAGTTTGATCTGAACTCAGTTGAACTTCACTGTGTTAGCGCACATGCCCAGATGCATCTTTCTTATTGTTGCAAAAGAAGAATTCACCCTTGCCGGCGCAGAAAGATAACTGTAACTGTGTTGTATGACAATGTTCCAGTGACAAGGCCGTCTTCATTTGGTTGCTGGCTGTTTATTTTTCATTGTTGTTTCCATCAGTCTGAGAACAAAATGTCTGTAACCACCCACCCACCGCTGCTCCTTCTGTATAAAGAAAGCGTGTTCTTCCTCACTGAGACTGTACTCATCCTGTTGTGATGAAAACACAAATTCTTTATTTCATCAGTAAAAACTCACACAAAGCAGGTATGGGATTTTCTTCCACCACAGTAGACATTAAGTGTAGCTTCAATAGCTAGTGTAGCATAGACATGCTAACGCGAGTTAATTATGTACCAACATCCTCTGCTAATGTTAGCTCCACAAGTTTTACGAAAAAATATAACGGTTTAGAAACATATATCTCCTTCCAACCTCTCCGGGTAACGAGTATCACTATTACACAACATTTAACAATGACTAGCTCCAAATCAACACATTCTCACTCCAGACTCCTCTAATACAGACGCTATCAGTGGCCCTTAGCTTCAAACAATGATGCTCTGTAGTCGCCCTCCAGCATTAGTTCTTAAAATAAACTTCCTTCTTCACAGGAAGTTAGGTTTAATGCAGCTGTTGTGTAGACTTTCACTTCTGACAAGTGCTGCAAATAAATGTATGTTAGGTTTAATAGAAAACCAATAAAAATTGTCAAAAAAAAAAGAAAAAGCAATTATACCCAATAGTTTCTTTGCATTTCTGGTTCACTTCTGTCAAATATTGTCTAGTTGAGGTATGTGCCTAAATGTTTTACCAGTTAATCCCAGATGGCAGTTCAAATAGTTTAGAAAATATGAACTCAAGTCAAACAGTAAGAATTTGCCAAATAACTTCAAAGTGAATCACATTTTAAAACATATATTTTTCATGACTTTTTCAGTTTAAAGTAGCCCACTTACCCTGCTGAGAGCGTTTTGTCCAAAACAGTGTCTGTGTCTGAATCATCCACAATGAAGTCAGTTTGTTGTGTTTTTTATACTGTGGCATGTTGCTCAACATACCTGACAACATGAAGGTGTGATCAGGACCTTCACTCCTGCTTCTCTATTGGTTAATGCTGTGTTCACACTATGAATAATTCATAGGCTAACCCCACTCACTGTGGTCAACAGAAAGAGATCTGTTGATGTGCAGCAGATTTTAGATTTGCTCGATGACCTGAGTGAGGAAGAGTCTGATGGGGGGGTTCATCGCTGAGCAATGTGACTGTTGTGAGTAGCATAAAGGGACGGCAACTATACAATTTTGTTTTGCAATCCTGTGTTGTAAAATAAGAAATAAATGAAACTTGGACCCAATACCTTGAAAATAAATGCATTATAGTCCAGTTCGCCGCCTACATTTTGTCCTTTGGACAGAGTAGATGTAGTATAGTATATATGTCTACTTAGTTTGATCTGAACTCAGTTGAACTTCACTGTGTTAGCGCACATGCCCAGATGTATCTTTCTTTTTGTTGCAAAAGAAGAATTCACCCTTGCCGGCGCACAAAGATAACTGTAACTGTGTTGTATGACAATGTTCCAGTGCCAAGGCCGTCTTCATTTGGTTGCTGGCTGTTTGTTTTTCATTGTTGTTTCTATCAGTCTGAGAACAATATGTTTGAGACCAAAATGTCTGTAACATTGGCCCACTGTTGCTCCTTCTGTATAAAGAAAGCATGTACATGGAGTTCTTCCTCACTGAGACTGTACGCATCCTGTTGTGATGAAAACACAACCTCTGGTTTTCGGTATTCTTTATTTCATCAGAAAAGACTCACGCAAAGCGGGTATGGGATTTTTTTCCACCACAATAGACATTAAGCATAGCTTCAATAGCTAGTGTAGCATAGACGTGCTAACGTGAGTTAATTATGTACCAACGTCCTCTGCTAATGTTAGCTCCACAAGTTTTACAAAAAAATATAACAGTTTAGAAAGATGTATCTCCTTCCAACCTCTCCGGGTAACGAGTATCACTATTACACAACGTTTAACAATGACTAGCTCCAAATCAACACATTCTCACTCCAGACTCCTCTAATACAAATGCTAGGTCAATGGCCTTGAGTTCGGCATTTAGTCCATTGCAATCTTGCTTTTTTGCAACCAGTGAACAGAAGTGACCATATATGGACTTCGGAGTGACGTAGAGACGCCGTATACGTCATTCACAACGTAGCCCCGCCCTAAAGCATACCCTACTTTATGGTCTATTTTACTCTAAATGAGACCATAAACTCATGTTTACAATGTCTTTAGAATTGTTTTTCATATATTTTAACAATTTTATGTGTAAACTTTTTATATATTCCAGTTTGAATTCATTTGTTGAAATTTAGCTACAACTTAAAATGTAACTACATAATGCATGTTTTCTGTAGAGGCAATATTTTCTGTTTCTAATTATTTTTAAATGGACCACTTTCAGCTCCATAGTCTTTATGAAATGTGCCATATAAATTAAGATTCTATAGTGACTGCTGTTGAAAACATTAATGTTGCTGCTCTACAAACAATATTTATATATACTTGAATTATAAATTCTAATCCTATTATGAATATATATGTTTTTAAAAGCAGTTATTTAGTTACGTAAAGCAAAGTATTGAGAAGAGTAACTCCTAGTTGTACTACAATCCTAAGGCAAGGCAAGTTTATTTGTATATCACATTTCAACAACAAGGTAATTCAAAGTGCTTCACATAAAACCATTAAAAGCATCAAACAATAAGGCAAAAGAAAAGGAGATTTAAAAACAATTAAGTACATTCATTGAACATTGAAAACAGTCATTAAAACACGAAAAAGCAATGTAAGAAATAAAATACAGTAGTGAAATGCAGAAATGCAGGAAATTGATTAATATCCTTGAATATGGTTCAACTAAAGGCAGCAGCAAACAGAGAAAAGATAACTCTCGCTACCTGAGGGCGACTGTAGTTCTCCAACATGCTTGGAAAAGGAGGGGTGATCAGAGGATCATGTTGTTGCTTGCTGTCTGCAACCTCATCAAGATGCTACTAAATCTTACACACTGGACCTTTGATTAAAAAACTGATTGTCTTACTGCAAGTAATTACATCCCGAAATTTTCACATTGATATC